TCTTTAAGCACCTCCCAGAAAAGGTACATGTTCAATTAATCACTAAGTCACACAGGAAAATTTATATAAACTAATTTTCTACTGAGACGCAAGAAACAAATATGCTCCTCTGTTTCACCACATGATAAGACTGTTAAAGAATGACCAATATCCCGAAACAATTATTTGAATATCTATTATTGTTCATAATGGATGCACACTGAGGTATGAATTAATATAGGTTATTTGTATTGTGGAATTAAGAAATCAGAATAATCAGTTACAATGTATCTCACAAACTGTTAATGTTGATCTGTGGCCAATTAAAAAAGCAAAAAAATAGAAAAAAACACCAGGGTCAGATGACTATATTTTAAGAGAAAATGTGTCATTTTAAATCATAAGTGATTCCTAAAGATGGCTTGTTCAGCTACTTTTGTAACATGTGTCTATTTGGTTATATAGCAAACACTGTACCTCTGCAATGACTATATTTATGTGATTCTACATCAGAATACATCTATTGCTGTACTCAGTAAGTGAAGAAGTGAGTCACTTCTGAGATAATTTTAGTAATAAATGAGATTCTGTTTGGAATTTTTAGTTCTAAGGAGAGAGAGTTCCGCTTATTTGCTCGTCTCTCACATTTCTTGGTATTGCTTAAAAGCACTTAATACCCTTTCAGTCTTAGCTACAGTTGCATGAGTTTGGAATTAAAATTACTTTTTTATAGATGGATGAGCTAAGACCTAGAGAATTTTAATGATGATACCAAGATTGCACTGCCAATAAGCAACAGAGATAGGTCATGAATTCAAGTCTTTTGTGTCCAAATCAAATGTTCTACAAAACAGAGACTCTTAGTTATGCCATGAGCTGTGTAATGTTGGGCAAGTTACTTGATAATCTTTTCTAAAAACTGCCATGAAATTATTTCATAAAAAAGTTGTAAAAGTAAAATGAAACATAATTGATTTTAAATGGTAGATAGATGGATAGTTTGAGGCCATTGTGTGTGTTTGTGTGTGTGTGCTCTTAGGCCATGGTACCTGTACCATTAGAGATGAAACAGACAGCATGTAAATCTTGGATAACATTTAGCAGAATATCATCTGTGGTCCTCAACCCTGTCTATACATGAGAATCTCTGGAGGGCTTTCCAAAGATTGAGTGGTGTCCAGAAATAATTGTTTCTGTTTAAGACTTCCAGGTAATTAAAATACACAACCATCATTAAAAATGCTTTGTATTCACAGGCAGACCATAATAAGATTCAGATGATGGTAATGGATCATCTAGTACTCTGGGAACTAACTCGAAGGAAGTTTTAGATTCATATTTACAAGTATTCTACAAAATGCCTAAAGCTGAAGTTACATTTTAAAATCTTTATTCAGGAAAAAAATTATCTCATTAGAGAAGCTCAAATGTAATCCTTAGATCACTTAAAAAAAAAACATATTCACTACAATGTTATGTGAAATATTTTATCAAGTAGATTATTATGAGTAAAACTGGCTTTCAGAGTTTTGAAAAGAATATGTGACAATAATAATCCTCCCTATATTTATCTCTAGGTTTTCACATACACATTGTTTTTTATGAATTGATGGATTTTTGTGTGTTTTTATGTAATTATTTAACATAAAAAATGTAAGCTTTACTGTGGATATTATGTAATCTTCTGGAAAATGAAATTACTCTCATCTTTGACAAAAATCCAGTGTTCCCATATAATCTTCATGCCTTTAAAAGTTGTCTTGTTTTTTGTTTGATAATATGAATATTTATAAGTATTTCATCTTTCTATACCAGGAACATCAGCAGCAAAAATTCAGCTAAAGTCACTATCTCAGGCAAAAGTCTTGATGGGTTTTTATTTAAAAACTAACAATTAGTTGACACTGCCATGAATATCCATGAATGTTGTATCAGAATTTTAGTGTGGAATCTTTATTCTTTTTATAAAAGTTTATCTTCCTCATCATGCTTAAAACATTCAACCTTTCTTTGGTATTTATGTTTTTTTTAGTGTTCCGATCCTTCCAAGGCTGTTCCCTGGATAGCATAACCCACATCTCCTCTTACTTTCTCTAAGACGTGTAGTCCTTCCATTTAATTTCCAGCTGCTCTGAGTATTTCTCATTTAGAGTTTTCCCTTTGTTTCTCCTCAGCCTTCACTCCCTCTCTTGGCTGTCTACTGTCTTCTCATCCACTCACTACAGCCACACCTTTATGGAGGCAAACCTCAGAACCAGTGCATTTTGATTTGCTACTTCCTATGAGTAAAGAAATGAATTCCTAATGATGATTTCAGGACCAAGCCTTTCAAATCTTTCCTCTTCCTTAAAAGGAGGGACAAGAATGTGCCATGGCTGTTTTGAAACCATATGTTGTTGGCTTTACAAATACATGTGTGCAGCCTGCAGCTGGAATTATAGATGGGTTTATCTGCCACGTTATCATTGTATAAGAGACTAGTGTGGGCTGTCCTGTGTCAACACTGTAAACAGATGAATGGTACAGTAAGGATTTTGTCCTCTTTATACTGACAAAGCATTGTTTTTTAATATGCTAACTGCATTTCAGATGCTAAATGTGAAAAAGGAACTAGCATGTGTCTCTGTGATGTTTGCACTTATAAATTCATGCATAGCTGGTAAAGGATTCAAAGTGAGATATGTCTTTGGTCCATAGGTTTGATTTCTCCTTACTTAGTTTTATGAGTATTTTCTATATTTTGGTTTGCAAAATCTCTATAATTCTCAAGTGTCCGAAAGTACCTAGAGGCTCTTAAAATTTGGTCTTCACAGCTTTCTAGTATGTACAATAGAATTGTAAGAGGAACACTCTTCTATTGTTATGAAACAACCTTAGGAGTAAATATTTTTCTCAGTAAGCAGATACCTACAAGAGTGGACTCTTGTTCACAATCTAGAGAAGTCTAAGCAGTTTGCAAAGCTCAGTGAGGCTTGGTGGCTCAGTAGCAATCTCCTTACAAATTAGCTCTGTGCCTACCAGCTCCTATATTGTTAGTCTGCCAAGGTAGCCTTTCATTTACATTATGGAATGTTTCTGCAATGAATTTTAGATGTATCTAATATAGTAAAAAAGAGAAACTAATCGAGAGTATACTTGAAGTCAAACAAACCAGTATTTTATTTAACATTAATATGTGCGTAATAATGTATTTTATATTTTTAATGACAAACTAGTTGATGTCTTTTATGAAAGCATCCTAAACAAACAATTTCCGTATGGGTATAACATACTAATAAGAAATACCTTATGTTGTTCTTCAAAGAAATTAAATGATAATGCTGAGAACAAACTGAAATACTATTCTAGTTAAAAAGTAGATAATGCTAATAATAGCTTTTTATAAAAGTAGTTCAATTTATGGTGTTTTTTCCTTTTTAATGTCTTTGAGAATATTAAAAAAACCTATTTCTCAATTTCAGCACATAAAATGAAAATTCTTTCATTTAGGATTTCATATAGGAGATTTTTTTTTTTAATTCTGATTCTTATGTTTTTGTAGGTAAGTAACCATGTCAGCTAAGAAGAAAAAAACACTAAAACACCAACTCATTTCCCTTTTTAGTTGACCTGCTACCATTGCTGACTTATTTTCTTTCTTTTTTCATTGTTGCTGAATAAAATACCCTTGCAGTACTGCCTATTATATGTTTTGAATAAAGCTGTAATTTATATTCTATTAAAAAAAGCCTTTAAGAAACATGTTTTGTTACTTTAAATGTATGCTAAAGTTTTGGGAGGAATATCAAACCTGAATCTTTTATTAAATGGAGAACAAAATGAACCAATTTAATATTATTTTAAGCATTGTTCTAAAGATGAAACAAGTTTTTAGTCTTCATGTAATAGAACAATAATGTCTATGTTAACCTGGTCAAATTAGATGAAACCAAAATATTCTAGTTTAATTCTCTCTGTTAAGGCAAGACTGACATATGCTAATAGTACTCTTGGGCTATTTAGGGACTTGGAAGTTGACAATCAATCAATATTTGTTGAATTTATGAGTGAGTAGGCATATGAATAGGTTTATATTTATGCCTAGTAATAATATGCTGATGATATTAGTCTGGATAAAGCTCTTGAAGTCTTCAAAAATGAACTTGGACAAAATTATTATTTTAAATTAAAAAATTACAGATACATTAAAATTTTTAGAGTAAGTTTTTTATAGAATTATTATTTCCTAAATTGTTAGTTGTAGTAGTTGTATACATTATTTTGAGAAAAAGTTTGTCATATACTGAAAGTTATCTAATTATTAGAGATGACTTTGATTTAATAATTTAGGGATCAGGCATGAAGATTGAAGAATTTTGTGCCCTTTTTTAATGCTTGGAATGAGGATGGTATGGTAACTTTTGCACCAAATATGAAAGTAGAAATATCTCGGGGAGTTTTCCCAGTATCGTTGCTAGGGAATATGTCTCCAGATTATGACAGTGTTAAGTAAGGGTTAGAATCATGCATTGTAGAATTTTAGAGGTGAAAAAGATATTTAAGGTTATTTAATCAAAACTCCATTAGTTTATAACAGAGGAAACTAAGACTTCTAATGGAGTGACGGATCAAACCAACAGACTTTTTAATTAAACAAGTTGCTATTTATATAGATATAACTTGGTATTCCAGACTGCTCTTTTAAAAGATTTTATGGAAAATTGCTGTTCATTTTTAGATTCCTGTGGTCTCTTTTCTCCTCCAGAGAGCATATATTTCACTGTATTTTAACAATTGTCTGTTTCTCCCATAGAATGAAAATGTCTTTATGGTAGAGGGTTTTTCTTACTCTGTTTTGTACTTTTATATCCTCAGTTTTAATCCTAGCGACTGTCACAGAGTGATCCTTCAAATAATTGGGGGATGAATTCGTGTTCCATAGCAGTAAGAGAAAAATTAATAAACGTTCAAGTGATAAATCGTGCATCTGTTAAAAGTGTGATTAACAAAGGTAAATATGTGTTCCATTTTTCTTCCCACAGTCTCCAAACGTCCACAACTACCCCGATATGGAAGCTGTTCCCCTGTTGCTAAATAACGTGAAAGGGGAGCCCCCGGAGGACTCGTTATCTGTAGATCACTTCCAAACACAAACTGAGCCAGTGGACTTGTCAATAAACAAAGCCAGGACATCCCCTACAGCCGTTTCATCCTCCCCAGTTTCCATGACAGCGTCTGCCTCCTCACCTTCTTCAACTTCAACCTCCTCCTCGTCTTCTAGCCGTCCAGCCTCATCCCCAACTGTTATAACATCAGTATCTTCAGCCTCATCTTCGTCAACAGTGTTAACACCAGGGCCCCTTGTTGCCTCTGCCTCTGGCGTGGGAGGCCAGCAGTTTTTGCACATTATCCATCCTGTACCACCTTCAAGTCCCATGAACTTACAGTCTAACAAACTGAGTCATGTTCACCGCATCCCCGTGGTGGTACAGTCGGTGCCTGTTGTCTACACAGCCGTAAGGTCACCTGGAAATGTGAACAACACTATCGTCGTGCCGCTTTTGGAGGATGGGAGAGGCCATGGCAAAGGTAAGAGACACAAAGCCTTGATTTATTTCAGCACTAGAGGGAACATCATTGTTTCCAGTGGGCAGACCCTAAATTGTATGCAAACACTTAACATCCAAAGTAGCTCTGTGCAGAGTAACACAGAGACATCAGCTGATCAGCCATGGAATAGAGTGCAGTTTAGTAGGAACTAACCCATATTTATGTGGGTATATGCTCCGGTTTTACTTAGTCTGTGTTTTTATTTATCATAAAGTTCCTTAATGTCAGAACTCAGATATCTAAATTTGGAAAATAATGCTGACCTTTAAATGCTCACCTTTTAACATGGGTGAGGGCAATCTATGGTTAGCATAATTGCTTATAAAAGTATAAATTTGTTTAGAAAAGTAAATCAGGATTCTTTTTTTCTTTTGAGACTGAGTCTTGCTCTGTCACCCCAGGTAGAGTGCAGTGGTTTCATTGTAGCTCACAGCAACCTCAAATTCCTGGGCTCAAGTGATCCTCCTGCCTTACCCTCCTGAGTAGATGGGACTACAGATATGTGCCATGAAGCCCAGCTAATTTTTCTATTTTTAGCAGAGATGGGGTCTCGCTGTTGCTCAGGCTGGTCTCGAACTCCTGAGCTCAAGCAATATTCCTGCCTCAGTCTCCCAAACGGCTAGGATTACAGGCGTAAACCATCATGCCCAGCCTTGGGATGTTTCTTCTTTTTGTTGTTCAACTGGAATTTATGGGGTGGTAATAATATAAAATGTCATGAAGTTGCAGTGCCTAGAATCTGATCATTCACTTCTGAGTAACTTATAAATTAAGTTGCCATTAAAATAATTCTCCAGTTAGGTATTTGGCTATGAAAGTATCAGGTAGCTTGGATTATTAACTTCTTACATGACTTAATATAATGGAAATATTATAAAATGCAGTACTAATATTTTCTTTTAGGGGTTAGAAGGCAGGAGTCACTTTGCCACACAACTGTGTAATAATAACTAATTAAAAATTTGATAGTTATACACTTGATCATGAAGTTATTTTTCTACTGCTAAGTTCTTATTTTTTTTAATTTTAATTTTTTTTTTTTACCAATTTTTACTAGAAGGAATTGTGGTAACTGTCCATTTTTGCTTCCTTACTCACTAATCTAAAAAATAAGCCACCCTTCCATAGAAATGTGAAATGCCCGTAATCATTGACTCATTCCCTTTTAAACTGAATACATATGTATGTATTTTGTCTTCAGAGCCTAGAAATGATGATGGATTAAGACTTAGGCTGTATTACTTTTTGCTTTGACACTGTATCACTACTGAGTCCTATAATTAAAATATGATTGAATACATAAAATACTGCCTTCTCATAAAATGCTAGTAATGGTTGTTTTAGTTCTTACATAAGTTAGGATTGAATACACAGAAGTATCATTTGATTGTGAACTTAGAGAAATTTTTGCAAACATATGCCACAAAATTGTGCATTCACCATTGGCAAGTTACTGTTTTATTTGCAGTGAGTTTCTTAAGAGCACATGAAATAAATTTCACCTTCCCAGTTTCATCAAGTTAAAACCTCATGATTCGGGCCGGGCGCGGTGGCTCAAGCCTGTAATCCTAGCACTCTGGGAGGCCGAGGCGGGCGGATTGCTCGAGGTCGGGAGTTCGAAACCAGCCTGAGCGAGACCCCGTCTCTACTAAAAATAGAAAGAAATTAATTGACCAACTAAAAGTATATATACAAAAAAAAAAAAAAAATTAGCCGGGCATGGTGGTGCATGCCTGTAGTCCCAGCTACTTGGGAGGCTGAGGCAGAAGGATCGCTTGAGCCCAGGAGATTGAGGTTGCTGTGAGCTAGACTGACGCCACGGCACTCACTCTAGCCAGGGCAACAAAAGTGAGACTCTGTCTCAAAAAAAAAAAAAAAAAAAAACCTCATGATTCAGAACATTTGGGGATTTTAGACTGCAAACTTAAGATACAGGGACTTATTACTTACCTGGCAACCTTTTTCTTTTGTGCTGTTATGGGTCAGCAACTGGCCCTGCCACCCTCTAGTGAAAAAGTAGAGGAAAAAGAGAAGTTAGGAAGACTTTTCATGGATTTTCCTGGAGCCGAATTCTCTTCGATATTGCTAATACTTCTGATTGAAATGAACAAATGATTTGAATGATAATAAAATAACTGAAAGCCAATTCAGGTATTTATTTTCCTATATAATGTAGAAATATGATTATAAATTTTTTAAGAATTAGGATTTAGTAAGTAGCAAAATATACAATCTTGTATATTCCATTATTTTATAGATGTGTGTATGTGTACACGATAGAATCCAATCTTTGTATGATAGTACTTAAGAAAAGTACTGTCTTATCATGAAGTTGATTAACAATGATTTTAATGTTGCTTCTGGCCTTTCATAAAATTTTGATTCACTAAAGAAGGAAACAAACACATATCTCTTTTATTAGCCATTATTATTTCATGGGAGAGTATTATTTTGAAAGTATATATAAAGTATATTTTATAAATTTAAAATTTTAATCTTCTGGAGAATGAGTCCTTGCAGGGGAACTTTTTAAGACTCATGCTCTAATTTGTTCGTTACATGAGCGTATTTGTTAGTTTCATGCAGTACTTTTTTATTTAGTAGTTTTCTCCTATCAAGAATAAGAATTTATTTAATCATAAGCACAATGGACTGTGCTATGGTCTTTAGGAACATGAGTTGTAGGATCAAGGGCGACTCTCACAGCTGTGCATGTGGGTAAATTATTTAGTATCACTAATCTTCACTTTTATCAGCAATAAAATGGGGATAAGTCCATTTCCTAGAAGATTAATGGGAGGATTAAGTAAGAGCATAATGTGTAAATGTCTAGCATTGATCAAGTATCAATAAATGTTTGCAGTTTATCATTACCTCTTCCCCAAAATACCACATGCAATAATGTTCAAAATATTTTCTCTTTCTTATAAAAACAGAAAGTTGGAGGAACAAAAACTTCTTATATTTTAAAAAGAAAAACTGCCCTAAGAAGTTGGTATAAAAATATTTCCTCAAAGTTGTTACTATAACAAATTATAAGGGATGAGACTTTAGAATGAGAAATTGTTTGGGAACATTCCACATTTTGTATTTTTATTAGTTTATGTTAAGCTTTTATAATCACCATATTCTACAATTACTACCATTATGGCATTTTATAAGTTTTTTTTTTTTATTGCATAACTGATTAATTAGGCAACAGTAAAAGTGTCTAGTGGAGGAGGTTGGCTTCCTACCTCACAGAATGAATAAAGAAAGGGGCATTTCAGTAATTCCTCAAGTCTTTATTTTGTTCATATGCAGCTGGGCACTGGGCCAGCAACGAAGTGGCTGAGAGATAAAGGGAGCCCCCTGTCCCTTCCCACTCAGGACTTGTATATCTGGTATGGATGAGCAAAGGAAAATACAAAAGGAGAGTTGGCTTTTCAAAATGCTAATAGTAAAAATACAAAATGTGATGCATATAACTATAGATGATGGTACTGGCTAATTACTTTTAAAGTAAGTATAACACGTCTGGTCTTTGATAGACAAATAGATTACCCCGTATGTCACATTACAGGAAAGACTGTGAGTAGACACATCCATGTCTAAGTTCACGCACCATGTAAATTGAGTCATTTGTCTGTGCAAGTGGTTATTGAGCATCTATCATTATCAGGCTTTTTATTGACACCAGAGATACAGTGTTGAACAAAACAGATGCTGTTTCTGTCTCACAGTGCTTACCGTCTAATGGGAGATATTGACATTAAACAAAAAAATCATAGAAACAATTAAATAGCTGATAATTGTGGACAGAGTGGACTAAAAATAGACCAGCCAGGAATTTGCCCGGTGCAGCAAGTTTAATTATGATTGCAAATAGAGAAAGCAGGATTTGACAAAAGTATTTTCACATAGGATGTTATATATCATAGGAAGAAATGCTTTTTCTGTGTTGCTCAGGGGACAGGGTGGGTGAAACTTCCCCAAGGGATGCTTGCCTAACCACAGAGTGGTATGAGAATGCTTTCTAATGAGGCTGGAACTTCCGCCCTTCTAAGTATGTAAAGAATAGTGGTCTAAAGGAATGGCAAGTTGTCAGCTAGTCCATGGCATGTACATATCTTGGAGGTAATATTATATGATATAAAGTGGAATGATGTTCTGGAAGGTACAATAAACAAATATATTTTAGAATAGAACGATGAGAGGGAAGGTGTCAGAAAAGGTCTCCTGAGGAACACATTTTTCCACTTGATACCAGAAGGTCAAGTAGCAGGTTAGCCCTCCCCCCCCCACAAATAGAAGTGCTTGAGGGGTACAGTGCTGTCCACATAGAGGAGAGTTTTGTTACTACTTAACCTGAGGCACGATATTTACAAACAAGACCCTAAAGAGATTATTTGACCTCGTAAAGGAATTTCAGTCCAGCCTGCGGAAGTTTATAGTACATTTCCCAGAAGATTTTCATTAGTTTTTTCTAATAGATATTTAGTAGCAGAGAAGCATTAGAGGGTCATAAAAAAATCACAAGCAAAGTTGTTCTTGGTTCATTACTGCCTGATGGAAGAGTAGGTGTGTTTAGAGTTCTCCTCCCTTCCCGTACGTAACGTGCGTTCACTTTATGCCGAGCACAGTCCTAGGAATCGGAGCTCCAAGATGAGCAAGTCCTCGTTGTCATGACCCTTACTTTCTAGCGGAATACACAGTATGTGTCAGATGGCATAAGAGCTTTGAAAAATAAGGCATGATAAGGGCATGGGAAGTTAATAAAAGCGGGGTACAATTTTAGGTGCAATCAAGGAAGGCCTCTCTGGGAAGTAAGAAATGCTAATAATACCTGGGGAAGAGCATTCCAGAAAGAAAGAACTGCAGGTTCAAAGCTCCTGAGGCATGTTGCGAGTGTGGCCTGTGGGAGGAGGACCCGCAGGGAGGCCTGAGGGACTGGAGGGAGGGACGCAAGGGTTGAGGGACACAGACTAAGGGTGGGGGCA